CATCAATGTATTTTTTAAGGGATTTTCACTGGGCGATAAAAAAATGTTAAAACTCAAAGCAGTCAACGTATAATATCACAGTATGATGATAGTGCGATATATAAGATGATATTTCACGTTCGCTTCGCATAATTTCGTCCAATCTTTCAAAATGCTATCGACAGAATTTAATTACTGGGCGACATTTGTGTCACCTAGTTAACTGGTTAAAAAATGAACTGATAACCATAGTTCAGAACCATAGATTATCAAACGTAGTATCATCACCATCTGTGTTTCGTGTTTAAAATTATCAGCTTCATTGATTGGTCCGCTATGATAAGCGATACACCTATAACTTTTAATACCATTTTTAACATTAATAAAAGCTTTTTCTAATGATATCCAGTATAATGTTTGGTTGGTAAAAACACAAATTATTTTCTCTTTCTTTATAAAATATGTAGTGATATCTCCAGGTTTCAAATTTTTACTTCTTATGTCTTCCAACAATCTATGAAACAGATGGTAAAGTAGAGATGATTATATTTAAGATTTGTACATTCCGAATTTCAGAATGTCTTTATATTTCTGAATTGCTTGCCATCGATATTAACGTATCAAATAAATTACAAATAATTTAACTATAAATTATATAGATATAATTGGTAATTAAATATATATTTTAACACTAAATTAATACATGTTAATGATAATGATAGACAGATAATGATAGATTTCGTATCACATGTAGCTTATTTTATATTATTGGTCATAGCATTTTTCAATAGTTTTTCACTAAAATCGTTTAAATAAATTTGTATTAGTTTAAAAAGATGCATTAATTTGAAATATTTCATGTGTTATAATTTCACTGCTTGAATATTTTTATATTTATATAGTGTACATTTATACTCTACATAAATTGTAAATAACTATATACAAAGGTTAAAGTTCTATTGATGAATGTCAAATGTACATATATACTTTTTTATTATTTGTTGTTTGATAAGTTGTACTTATTTAAAATGGATTTTAATGCACTTCAATGCAACATCGTAAGTATAATTAAAATACATTTACTTTTCTTTAAAGGAAGAATAACTAGAGTTCACTTCTTCTACTAAGTTATTTGTCCAATTTTTCATTTTAACTTGTTCCAAATCAATTAACAACAGAATATCCGATTTTGCTTCCACCTCAAATATTTTTTTTGGCTTAATAAATACTTTTACTTGCGGTGATGGTTTGCTATAGAATATCTTATAAAAGTTTTATGATAAAATAAAATCAGTCAAATATTTGATAATTGTTTACACTTACTTTTGTTGGAATGCAAACCCTTTTACTAATTCCAGATCCAGCAAAAATATTTGCGATTATTGTTTTTACTTCAAACCAATCGAGACCATCAAAATTACAACCGATTTTTAACAGTCCTAACTTAGTTAAATTTATCATTTTCATTTTTTTTCTAGAAGGGATTTTAAAGCTATAGTTAACGCTTATTTGGTTGTCTTATCGTTCTTATGTTTTTTTTGTGATTAAGTAAAATGCAACTTCATTACGGCCATTAATAATCATACCAACGTCCCCTATTTTTAAATTTTGATCAATAAGCTGCCCAATACCACCAAAATAACGCATAGAAAGCAAATTAAAATAATTATTGCCATAATCATTATAATATTTACAAGGTATTTGTACTTGAATTCGCTAGCAATTCCTGATTCCATCAACAATTCCTCAGAAAGACATAGAGCTAGAGGAATGTCCTAGACAGGTTGAATAGATTCTCGTCTATTTCGGTTATTAAACATATTTTAATTAATAAATTAAAAATAACTTTATTAATATGTATTTATTATTAAAATTATATGTATATTTAAAACAACCATCGGATAAAGCATGAATCCAAAAGGTGAAGTCGTTTTTGGAGAATACCATTATACACATTTAGTTAAACTTTTATAGTTAAAAATTATAGTCACAAATATCATACCCTCTTAAACTTCTCCTAAATTGCAAAAAATAGCTTACAATATTCTGGGTTTCATCACAGTTAATATCATAATGAATTAAAAATTATAATTAGCAATATTTTTAATTTATACTAGTTGCAAAAATATTTTTGATAACAAGTATTACGATATAAATGTATCCTTTCTATATTTACATCTTCGTTTATACTAATATTCAAATAACTGAAAAATAATTATAAAAATCTCAACGGTTTTTCGATTTTTCATAAATATCAAATTTTTTTTTTTTTTTAATTTTGTAAGCTTTGGATCCTATATAAATAAATGTTAAGCTATTTATAAAAGTTCAAAAAAAAGTATCAGTATGACCATGATATATGAGTATTGTTTTTATTTATTCATATCAATAAATAAATTAAGTTCTATAAGTTATATAAACTATGGTTACAAGTAACAAAAATACATATTTCGGAGGAAAATAATAAACAATAAAATAATATAATGCTTTAGTATAAAAAAGAGCAAATAAGTATTTATGAAAAATCAAGTATAAATCAAGTATAACATTTAATTTATATGTGTTAAAATCATCAATCCAATTAATATTAGGTTAGTTGTTATATTCACTTAGAAAAATTTTAAATAAATTACGAAATATTCATTATTTTACTTTGATATGGATGATTTTAGTACATCACATTTTCCTTTATTTCCATCTAATGAGACTTGAGGTAGTTCATTGACCAAAACAATAGATTTTTTCGTCTTTTCTACTTTTGTTTCAGATTCATTAATTTTAATAATCTTAATTCTATGTAATAAAAAAACAAAAATAATGAATTAAAGAATTTCCAATAATAATTAAAATATTATCTTTTTCAATTCTAGTATTAAAGACACACCAATTACTCATAATTTTTTATTAAAACCGTTGTATTTTTTCTTCAATATTGTCGGTGTTCCATTAATATCAAGTTCTATAAAAGTTTAAAAATTCTAATTGATATACATTAATAAATTAGTAATAATGCATTATGTAGTAAATACGTAAAAAGTATGATCTGATGAAATTGAAAACAAATAAATAGGTTATTTATTTTATTTATATTACTGAATTAAAACATATAACATATGATTAAAATAAAAATTATTGAATAATTTCAAATGTTAATATATAAAACTAATTGGATAAATTAAATAAAGAAATATAATACGATTATTCTTTTGCTGGTAAATATATTAAAATAACAGCTTAAAATCGTTATTTGATTTTGTCCTACTTGAAACTAAGTTTTGACAAAAAGGAGTCTATGCATTGTTTCCAGCAAAATGTTTATTTTATCGTTATATTTGTTATCTTGTAATAACAAATTTATTTAATATTGGTTAGTTTATTTATATATGTATGATAATAATATACAATATGTCCCATAAATCTCGTATCACCCTTAATATCTCCACGGGAAATTAATATATTTAAACGCGGTTTTTTTTATAACATTAAGTATGGAAATTCTCGGTGATACCCGATTGAGCACGGTAAGAAAAAAAATAAATATTGTGTACAACGTTGTCAGATTGAAAACTAACTATTAGGTTGGCAACAAACTAGCGTTATTTTACTGTGCCGTAATTTTACTGCACGTTTTTTCAAAGTACATTAAAATTAATAGAACACAACACACGAGTGTCACGCAGTAAAATTATGGCGCGATATTTCGAAAACTCTCCCGTGCACCTTGACTTTACTGTGCATTTAAAATATCGCTATAAACACTTATCGTGAGTTCTCTAAATTTAAAAATTCTGACAACCTACTTAAATACTTATTGAAAGTTGCAAATAAGTATTTAGGGAAATTTTTTTTTCTAACCTTTTTGATGACAATTATATGAGTGCTATTTTTTAATAAAAAAAAAAAAAAAATGTTCAATTATAACTTGTGATTAAAATCCAATGAATGATTTTTAATTATAAATAATTATATTCAAATGTATTTTATTTTGTAATAATAATATGGACGTATCATGCTCTATACACCAACAGTATAAAAAATGCGAAAAAAACGGTGTCTTGTCGTTTTTTTATTGGAGAATTATTTCTTTTAGGAAACCTGAGCTGTAAAAATGTTAAATTATGAAATAATCGTTAAAAATCTAAAATTTAATTACATAATAATTATAAAAAAAATCTTGCATGCACAGTAATACGGTGCACCGAATAATATTCCACGGTACAAAGCGGCAACGTTACACCCATTTTCGTGCTCAATCGTTAGGTTTTAGGGTTCGTTTTTGGTTCCTATTGTTTGATCGCAACCGTGCTCAATCAGGTTACGAAAAAGATCAATCGTGCTTAATCGGGTTACAGCCGGAATTCTGATTGAATGGCATGCAATTCATTTTTTTTTAAAAAAAAATCAAAAATTCAAAAAAAAAATTTTTATGCATTTAAGAATTTTCAATTTTTAAGACAGCCATTTTCTTGAGCATATTTTTTTAAATAGTTCAAAAAAAATAATATTAAAATTGAATAAAAATTGACCAAGTTAGAGCAAATTATGTTTTTGAATAATTATAACAAAAAAATGAATTGTTTCAGATTTCAATAATCCAGTGCTTTATCCACCTAGGTCGCCCGACTTAACACCAATGGATTTTTTTTTATGGGGTCATTTGAAAAATCTTGTGTACCCGTCGTATTCATTGCCTCATCTCCGTGACAAAATTGAATAAAATATTCAAAATATTTTACCTGAGACATTAGAAAATGTTAAAAACGCTTGGGTCCGAAAACTTCAACTCTGTGTTACAAATAATGGAGGTCACTTCGAACATTATAATTGATTATAATTTATAATTATAATTTAATATAATTATAATTATAATTTATTATATTCAGTATAATAACCTATTGGAGAGTTATGTGTTTTATATACAGTGTTATGTGTGTATCGTAAATATATAAAAAAGGTGTACCATATTGTCGTATCGCTCATCATTACTCCTTAAAACTTAACTAAAACTAAAACAATAATCATGATTTTCATTTTGAAATGTAATATTTTTAAAATTTATTTTTTACATAAATAAATGTTTTATTTTACAAAGAATTATCGTACAATAGAATCGAAGAGAGTTTTACGGTGATGGTGCTTTCGACGGTTGCAAGGATAACCACGAAGAGTATTGATACTAAGAGTCATTAACCTATTTGAACAGATAATCCTCAACCAGAGGTAACCCTGCGGTGTAGGACGCTGTGGGTGCATAAACTTGAGGGTATCCGTAGTAGGCTGCGGCTGGGACGACGGCTGGTGCGACGGCTGCGGGTGCGACAGCAATTCCATTGTAGTTTCTCGCCACGTACTGCGAACTGTAAGCGGTGACCACGGGTGCGGGGGCGGCAGCTACAGCTGCAGGTGCAACGATCGGAGCCGAAAGCGCTAAAGGCAACCCAGACGGCGCGGCAGTGGTGATGACTGCGAGAGAACAAGCGACAAGCGCGAACAACGACTGCGAAATAAATAAATAAATACACAATATTGTTATTATATTAATATGAAATTCGTTCGGTAAAATCATATAAAACGAGGATGGATCAGGAAATGGAAAATCGACCGTATGTGTGTGATAGATGTACGAAACGGTGAAGTGAAGCACAAGGAACACGTGATTGGTATCTCGCACCCGGAATTTTTTTCACAGAAACGTGATATATTGTGTAACATTGTTAAAGAGATAAATTAAATAATGAAAATTAATAAAACAATTAATTTATATTGGTCGAAATATTTGAATGTAAGGAATTTTATTACCGGCTGCTAAAACGACTCTTTATACAGTAAATTTGTTATTGCTTATTAGTAGTATTGGTTTTTAAATCGAAAACTGTTGATATATTATATATTATATTATATTAGTAAAAATGCAATTTTACCGCTTTTTTCTACTTTTAGAAATCCCAGTGCGTACATCGTTTACCAGTAAAGCGAGATAGGAAGTGAATTTAACGTGATGCGATTGCAAAGTATAAAAATACTCTTCACCAGAATAAATTAATAATAGTTACCATTTTGATACTCATTTTGAGATGGTGCGCAAATGTATGACTTTTGATATGATGACTGACTGACGTATGGCTGACTACTGATGCCTTCGATGTTCTGATCCTGATTTTATATAAACCGAGGTTGTCTGGAGTGTCGCAATTAAGGACAATGAAACATATGTTGATTGTTTGCGTCTTGACGGATTTCCCAATGATTTGATATTATCATTTTATTATTATGTTAACGTTAATACTGAAATACATTTGATGAATTTGTAAGTGAACCACGTTGTTGGAATTGTGTATGTGCCGTGCTTCAGTGTCAAATTGTTTTGGCAAACTATCAATGACATTACACTGTTGTGTACTTTTAATCATAACCACAGTAAGTGTATCATAACGCATCATCGTTATGTCATATTTTAATTCATAATTTTTTTTTAAATCGATTTTCATAGTGAAACATCGTGCATAGCCAATTTGAATGATTGCCAATTTGATAAATCAGCAATCAGCAGTGAATTATTATTTAACAACTGTATGTAATATCTCGATATCGTATAACTTCTATCGCTATCGATTTAATTAGATACTTTTTTAAATAAAAAGAAAAAAAAAGAAACACGAAAAAGAAGTCATACAAATAATTCATCGAATTCGTAGGTTCTACTTATACATACTTTAAGAAATACAATTTTACAATGAAATATTAATTCATAAATTTTTAATTTTTAATGAAGTTCAATTCGTACACGTCAATAATCAAAAAGTCAAGAAGTATTTTTAAATAAAAATAATTTCATAATAATGTAAGATATTTTATGTTGTCAGTTGTAATTCTTTTTTCTTTAATAAACTCTAACAACTACTAAGTGTTCAATTTTTACTGCATTTATGTATAAAAATATATGAATGAAATTACAATCAAACTGTATTAAGTTATTAAATGTCACTAAAAACACATCATTTTTTATTTTTCATCTGAACTTTATACTTTGAATACATTTAATTTTAACAAAAATATTAATACAATTTGTAAATCAACATGAAATGTATATTTTTTTTCAATTAACGCTGGTAATATTTTCATATTAATTTAACAAACCAGGTAAAATCCACATATAATTAATGTAGAAGGAACTATAATAAAATATAAATACCCACGTACTTTAATTATGTGTTTAATTTTCACTGCGAGTCCATATTATAGTCATCGGTAAATATCGTATGGTATTCGTAAAGAAAACGTGATGTTAGATGCGACAAAAAGTTGGTAACATTTGTCGAAATAAAAACCATTAAAATTAATTAATTAATTTCCGTATAATAACTTCGAGCAATATAAAATATATAAGAATTTATTTGTGTTCAAAATGATTTTAAGAGTGTAAAAAAGTATTTAATTTTAACAATTGCATACTATGCTTAATTCCTTCTTAGAGTCCTTGTTCAAAATCGACAATAACTTGTGTTGGCTTAAATTGTAAACCATGATCAGAGCAATAAAGGATAATTGATTTTAATGTTTTTATATAAGTATCTTTTTGCTTGTCTTGAATTAGACAAAATACCAATGGAACATATGAGTTTTCTTTACATCCACGAATAGAGAATAATTGATAAAAATACTTTGTAAAGTATTCAAAAGTACCGTCAACATAAATAGAGTCTAACGAACATAGCAAATTTAAACTTGTAATCGTAGAAAAAATAATAATATGGTCAGTCTTATTATTTATTAATAAAAAGCTTTCCTTTTTTTTGTGTAATTAATCAAATCAATTGTTTCTGAATAGTCCTGTACTTCATTAATATGTTTTAGCAATATAGGTAATATTTGTCGGCAAGCTCGATTTACATTAACGCGTAATTGGTTTATATATTTTCATAATAGTAAATCAATATTAACTGATGTGCAGTTCTCAATTTCGGATATAACAATTTTGGATGGTGTTACCAAAGTATCTTCGATCACTTTTCTTTTTGTGGTGGTCCTGATAATTTGACGCACAATGGTCGCTTCGATTAAAATTTCATGTGTACTGTTTGGTATTGTAGCAATATTTATATACGACAAGTTAATTTAATAGTGGCTCAATTACCGGATATAATAATTAAAAATAGTTGAAAATAGTGGCCCAATCACCGGGTCTACCTGTTATGAATGTAAAACTGTAGTGGTCCAATTACCGTATACTTTTTTGAAAGAAGGTTAATTATCGCCCAATTCCAAGGAGCCCACAACGATAACCTGACAGTCTATGTACTTAATGAAAATAAATAAACTTGTGCATATTAACGAGTTAAGAAATTATTATTTATTGTTAGGCGAACGTCTAAAAATTCAAAAACTGCAATTTTGTAGATTTCAATCGTTTTTATTATTAATAAATAATCGAATCACATGTTTGTATGTTTATTTGTTTCTATAAAACATGTGACTTACCTAACAATTGTATTAATTAGTCTATATAGAATATTTAGTTATTTTGCTTGGGTATGGTGTGAACATGTTCAGAGAAATTAATTATTTATTGTTTAATTTTCTGTTCATGTAAATGATTTAATGAACAATGATATTGTTTTTATACGATTTATTATTCCTGATTATACTCCATATTACATAACTGAGTGTAACAATGGAAATCATTTTAATAACGATTCGTAATATCGTTGAAATATAAACACTAAATTAAATATTTTATAGCATATCGAGTTAAAAAAAAAAAAGTGATATTGTAGAATGTCTGAATAGATATTGATGGAGGATATAATTTACGTAAAAGTAATAAATAATTTCTGAGTTTGTGTCATTTAGGAATACAGAATTTTATGCACTTAATACAGATTTACAGGATTTTTTAAATTTTATGTGACAGTTCAAAAATAGGCATTGTGCATCAAACTAATAAGATTTAAATAAGTTCTGTAGTTTAGACTTCGATCACTAACACACATATATATATTGATTTTATTTCATTTATAAAAATAAAATAGGTAAATCATGAATTTAACTAGTTTTCATTAGTAATTATTCATCAAGTTTTCAAAAGTAATGTTAAATTCTAAAAACTTCATAGAGAAATTACATATCATTTTAAATTTAAAAATCTCTGTAAATCATATGAACTCAAGAAGGGTCCAGTGAGGTTTCCTCGTTATTTCTGCTGTATGTGATCGCAGTTAATAAAATGTAAAGGTATATGCGATTATTTTTTCATTTTTAATGTAGTTCAAATGACGTTTTAACCATGTACAACCTATATGTTTTTAAAAATTACTTTTCACCATTTGAATCTATAAACGGACATCGAACGACCTTACCACAAATGTGTTTTCAGAATATTTATAAGTAACTCAATTTCGAATTAATATTCCTGTTAGCGAATAATCCAAGTTGTATAAGACTGTATTATAAATCTGTTTGTGTCAATGCCAAATAACTTAATTTTGTAATGTATAAAATACAATGTTCAACGTATTGTTAGTATCTATTGAAATTTTGATGGGTGGGAATACTTGAGTAAAGGGCCATAGATTTGTATATAAATATGGTCAAACTCAATCCAAAAATCATTCGCACTTGAACAGCCCTCAAAGCAGTATCAACTATTTCTATTTCGTCAACCATCAACATAAATAAAACTCAAAAAATGAATACCATCATGAAAATCGTAAGTACAAATTAAATTCTAAAGTTTTTTTTTTTTATATATAAATGTATTTCCTATATTAAACTATAATATTTAAACGATAGTTCTTAACACAAAACAATGGGTCTAGAGAATAAAGAGAAGAATAGAATCGTGCAATACTTCTAGAAACTTTTAGAATCTTAACTTTCAATCCATACGATTAAATAGTGCGTTAATATTTAACTATGAAACAACTCATAATATAAGTTCTATTTGTATCCTGTCAGATAAATGTAACATATCTGTACTTATTTTTATTGATACATCTGAAGAATTTGAAAACATATTTTTACACTGGTGATAAATCAAATTATATTCACTAACTACCATAATCAAACATGTATTTTTAAATTCGTAAATTTGCATTTTATACTAAATTAAAATTAAGATTTCATGAGTGTGCTAAATCGTATAATTTCTGTAGGTTATCGTCCTGGCAAAGGATTACGTTTCAATAGTTTTTCTCCTGTATTAAAACTAATAATAGCAAGTAAGGAAAAAACTCCATACATTTAGTCAAATAAAATATGTACGGTATCAGAAATGTCTGCTAGATATTGTAATAAAATTTTAACGGGACAGGTGCGTTCGGCCGGCATTCTTTACTTTGGTTGCGCTGTTTCTTCATTAAGCGAACAAATTCTCAAACGAAGCTATTTGTTTTTGACTCGTCTCATAAACCTGCTCTAAAAAGCGCATTACGTTTAGTACACTTTAAATAAGATTTTTTTCTTTTAGAATTTATATTAGATTGTGAAAACTAGATAATGGGTTAAAAAAGAAACGCTGAAAAATACGATATACACACCTAATTTCACTAGTGATAAAATACATTCCAATCCTATACCAGACACGATTTATGCTGACTAAATTAATTTCAACCTTATACCTATTAGGAATAAATAATTTATTTGTTTTTTTTTTTATCTTATCAATCGTTGCTTGTATATGAATACGATATATTACATTTTATATCTGATATAAGTACACTCGTACTTAAATTTGAAAAAAAAAAAAAAAAAACAATAACCAATGAAATTAACGTTAGTTAAACGTATTTTAAAAGATTGTTAAACGCGCTGTTGTAATTCTTAGTTTCAAATATTAATAAAAAAAAAAAAACATGAGTTAACGCGAAGTTATGATATTGTTTTCCAGACGATCTTCGCCGTCGCAATGTTCGCCTCGTCCACGATGACCACTGCTAAACCAGCCGGACTAGTGCCAGCTGCAGTTGCACCGGTGGCCGTGGCCGCACCATACGCCAGCTCGTTCACGTCGCACAGCGTTGCTCACTCCGTGGCCACTCCGGTTGTGCCGGCCGCAGCACCCGCTGTGTACGCACCATCCGCGCCGTACGTAGCAGCTGCGCCGTACGTCGCGTCTCCTTACTCCGCCGCGCCATACGTACCGGCACCTTATGCCGCCTCGCCGTACGGCTATTACCCGTACGCCGCCCCCGCTGTCCTGCCCGCTTACCTGTGAGTCGAACGAACGGTAGCTGCAGTCGATTGCACAAGAGCTTTCGCGCGTCGTATGAATTAAATGTATGACACGTCGGAAGACTTGTGCAACAAGAAGACAAATTCTGTTTTTTTTTTCGATCATTTTTGTTTGTAATTATATTATTAAAAAAAAAGGGAAAAAAAATACGAGAACAAAAATAATATTGTAATAATGATAAATAATCGCGTACAGCACACAATGTCTGGCGCGTTCCGTTTTCTTAAATAAATAAAATACACACACATGTTATTATAATGAAGTACAACAAATCGTTTTTTTTTCCTTCTTCTTTAACATCTTGATCCTGCTGATCATTTGCGGTCGATCAATTGATAGTTGTAGTAGTTGTAGGGCGATGCGTCTTGCACTACGACCGCTGCGGCCGGCGGTCTGTACTCGGGCACGGGCACGTCCACGTACGTCTTTTGCACGGTGACGGACGGTTCGACGGCCGTCACTTTTGGCACGACGGTGTGCACCGGTCGCACTACTGGGTTGAACCTGTGCAACTGTTCCACTTGCGGGAATGACGCGGCCGCGTATGCCGATAGGTCCGGCTTGTACACGAAGGATGGCGCGTAACCAACCACGGCGGACGGTGGTGGTGGTGGTGGTGGTGGTGGCGGTGCGGCCGCGTATTGCACCGTCTTGCCCACCTGGACGGCCACCGGTACTTGGACGCCACTGTAACCGTATCCGGTCGCGTAACCCTTGGCTTCTGAAATGAACTGGCTGGACAGCGGCTGCAGCAGTTGCGGTGCCGCAGCCGTCTCAGTGGTACCACTGATCAGCACAATCGACATCACCACTGACATAAGTTTCCCCGCCAACGATGTTTCCGTCCGCATCGTCTGCGCGCACGTTAAAAGTACATTAGTTTAAAATATTATAATTTTGGTGAAACACGTCGAAAAGTTTATTTTAAAATAAAATTGAAACTTCTCTGTAAGTATTTTTTTTTCATTTCGAAGTATCATAATTATATTTGAAAACTATTCTTACTTAAATAAATAAAAGGACAAAATTCCTAGGTCGAGTAGGATATAAGATCGGGTGAATGGTATTGCTGTATTGGTTTATCAGAATTGAAACCAGTGAACCAATGCTCTCGAGTAAATGACTCTTAGTGAAAGACATCAAGTAGATTAATAAGGAAGATTGAACATTTAATGTTCTAACTTTCACAAAAAAAAATAGGCATCTTAAATTTAAGAATAACAAAAATTTAAATTGCCTATAAGCAGTACAAACTTAACAAAATTTTGGTTTAATAAAAAGTCTTGAAAATTTAATATAAAGTTGTTCATACATGTATTAATTATGGGTTATAGAAAAAAAAATTAAGCTTATTTTAAAAAAAAAAAAAATTAATATTTTATAAATATTAAGAAAACTATTAAAATTATAAAAATCCTTAGCATTACTGTAGGAAAAAAAGTGTATAAATTTTCGATTTTTATACTAATAGAAAATTGAAAACTGGAGTTTTAGTATAATTTTTTTGGTAACAAAAGAAAAAGAAAAAAAAATACTGGAATTTTCAACAATGATTTACAAGCATTACAAAATTAAATTTTAATAAAATCAGATATTTCATAGAATTTTTATTAAACAGAATTAAAGTAAGTGTTACATTTTCATGATGAATTCAAGACGCGTTGCATCCATTGAAATATCATTATATTACTGTAAATTTTACCGTTAAAATTAATACAATTGTAAAACAATTACACAGCGCTATTAAAAATTAACTATAAGTCATTTCAACTCATTCTTGTCCCAACTATAATATAACTATAATATTTTGATATTTTAAGTGTATACAATATATCATCGATAAAACACGTAATATTAATAATAATAAGGAATAGTATTAAGTATATTTATATTAGTTTATTATTTAGTGATAAATTATATAATTTTTTTATATTTCAAAAATCTTGAACTTAATGAATACTTAATGAAAATTATTAATACAACAATTACTTTTTAAAAAAAGTATACGTACAAATTGACTTTTACAGATTTTTATCATCTAAAAGTATAAAATACGTGTTCCAATAAAATAGTTTAATTATATAACATGAATAAATAAGTTTTATAATACATTAAAAAAATGTATTATTCTCAATATAAATATTGTACAAATTAAATTTATTGTAAAATAGGCAACACAGATTACGAAATTATTCTACATATGTAAAATCGATTTTGGTATATACGGTTGAAGTTAAATAACGATCATTAAATGTATACGTAGGATGGTTAATGTGTCTAATTTTTGAGTAGGATTTTGAGTATTTCATCATAAAGTGGGTTTTAATTTCAGTACGAATCTGGTTTTTTTTTACATAGATTGTATTTGAATACGATTACAGAAATTACGTAGTAGTTTTTCAACCTTAATGTGTAACATGATAGACATAGGTTCCCATTATTATTTAAATATTTTTTCAATATAATTACAAGAAATGTAAGTGTACAGATTTCTCTTGTTGTGGGTGTTATTTCGCGAAGGTGATAAAGAAATTTATTATAAACACATATAATAACAAGAACCAGTTATATACTGCAGTGTTTGTACTAAAAATTTATTTTGTAACACCAATATCTCTAATTGTATGCCATTAAACAAAAAACACAAATCATAATGGTATTATACGATTAAAATTATAAAATATAATGCAAATTCCGAGGTGTGATTTATTAATATATTATATTTTAGGGAAAATCATAAATAAATAAAATGTAGGAACTCTTAATTAATATACTTATAATTTTTATTTATATTAAAGTAAAAAGATATTCCAAAAATAAAATAAAATAAAACTAATTTTAAACAATTGTGATTGTTTCAGAATAATATTATAATGATTCTAAATAAATTTTTTATATATTAAATTATTAGTATTTTCTAATAATATTGTATTTTTTATTAATAATAAGAATATGAATACATTAAAATATCTTTAACTCACATTAAGATTCATTGCAGATGTAAGTGTATGACTTGTTTTACAGCTGATCGTGCGGGAAAGAACTATTCCGTGTAGTGTTATGATTAATTTCCACGAAGCCTAATTTATACTGAAAAGATTTATAAAGAGTGGGGTAATGAAAAATGACTACGTCTATTTCAAGCATCCAATGATCTTCCAGTTTGTTGTCGGTTTTTTTGCGTTGTAGTTATTGAATTACCTACAAGAAAAAAAAATCGCACTATTTTATACATAATTGTACGTTTACGTGTAGAAAATAAAAATTACCATAATACCAAGAGTATTTGTTATATTTTAATTTATATTGAATATAAAACAAAATTAAATAGGTACAATACGAGAAAAATTAATCCAAAATAAAATATAATAATATTCTCCATATTATTGGATATGGAAATAATAAATTTCAAATATTAAACCATAATTGGTTTTAACGTCAAAAAGTATAGTTTACTATTAGTTATTACAATAGTCATAATAATAATAGAAATATTGTTGCGTAGGTATTCTCAATGTGACAAGATTTCGCCAAAGCACGTGTCTCGAACTCACGCGTTTCAGTGAAAGTATAGGGTGGTGTAGCGCAATATGAATATTCAATCATTTACTTAGAATAAGATATTATATTCTACATTATTCGATGTACGACGAAAAAATAGTTTCTTTACCAATAAAAACTGATTACGGACCGGCTTCTCTAACAATATATTACTTACTTACTTACTTTGTTTTGTTTTGTAGACAGGAAACGTTTAATACTTGTAGGGTTAGTTTGTAATTTTTTCTATGTATTTTGCCCTTATTCACTTAGAAACTGTTACAATTTATTTAAGATATTCCATTAATTTTATGATTAGTTAATAAATACTTATATTTTAATTTTCTATATAACTTTACTATTTTTACACATCACAAAAGAAATAGACGTATCAAAGAAAAAGCCCTTCGAAACTTAAACGGTGTAGCCATCATACATTTGAAAAGTCATAATACATAACTTCCATTAATAGAATGACATGTAATTACAATAGTTTAAATGTTTTATATTCGCGTTAGATAATGAAAGCTCTTTGTTATTTAACCATTTATATTTATTAAGATATTTAAAATAATTATATTCGAAAAATAATAGAATTGTATATAAAAAAATGTATTATAGAAAATGTATACACTACTTTTAATAAGAATTCGTACAAAACTCGATTTAATTTAATAATTAGGAAGTTATAAATATTTTTTCAAAAAATATCATATCAATTTATTATATCCACATGTGCATATATATATGTGTGTGTGTGAGTGTGTGTGTGTACGCAAGACCGTAACTGGGGGTCCAGGGGTCCGGACCCCCCCCCCCCAATTTTCAAAAGTAGAAACATTTTAGCAGTGAATATAGTTTATTAACTATAAATTGTATTAAATAATAATGTTAGACCCCCCCCCCGAAATTTTTTTCCAGTTACGGCCTTGTGTGTACGTACAGTTATATGTAACTACAACACTGTGATACTAAAATTTAACACATTTCAGTAGGTAAAGGTAAATAACCCTCATGCGTATTTTGTAATAAAATAATACGACTAGTTATTATTATGTGGCGTCAAGTTCAATAGCTTCTTTTTTCCAACCAGGAACGACAAGATACTAGTCGTGTGAGTATGTGCTCGCGCGTACAGTTGAAAAACAAAAATAGTCAATTCGATTACATTTTTTTTTCACACATTATTCAAGGGCGTATTGTAAATAATATATACATATAAGATGCGGCTCATTGTTATAAAGTCATGCAATATATTATACTCTTGGGCACTAATTATTTCCAATCCGTGCGTAGCAGTACGACGATAGTGTTTAATAAAGAATCCATAGAACGGAATTTATCAGGCGTCGATTTTTCAATTAGATTAATTTGTTTTGTCCAAAACCAAACTACAAGGTACTTTTATATATGTGTGTATTTATAAAGAAAGAGAGAGAGAGAAGATATGTGTACGTTGCTCACAGCCACTATTATAGTGTGCAACATGCTGGCATAATATGTATATGTTAACCTGCAGCCGATCGATTCGATACACTGTTGCAGTAACCCGAGGGGTTTCTATATACATTTTAAGCGTTAGATGTCGATTACGATGATGATGATGATGATAATGATGATGGTAATAATATGGCGTTCTTTTAATGCAAAATCTTAATATGTTTATAATAATATTAAAGTCATGTACGTCGATAGTTTTACAGTTAAGTATTGGCGGGAGATGATTATATAGACTCGTTCCTCCCGGGGTTATAAATAAGCCATCGCGTCGTCTAAACAATTTTGTTCATTAAGTATCTCTGTAACTAAATCACCTACGAAAAGTCACCGAGAGAGGAATTCGTTTAAAAATGATTTGTTTACAATCGGTAAGAATATCGTTAGTTAATTATTTTAATAGTTTCCTCTACTAATACGACCCAATATCGATAATGGTTAAGACATGAAACCATGTAGTTAAGTTAGTCAGATTGTATGCATGTATTAAATTTAATCAATATTTTGTAATTGCGGGAAAAAATCTTATACAAATAATAATAATAATGATAAATATCAAAAAAATGAGTTTACGACTGAGTTAATTTATTATAATTCATAAACATTTGTTACTAAAATATAATTACTTACTTGTTGAAATTGGTTTTGTAGTTTCATAAATTTTCATAACATCCATTCTATCGGTATTAGGTGCAAAAATAAATAAAGTATAATTTTAAATGTAATAATAGACCGTTGTAATAACTTAGACAAGCCTATAGTTTTCTTATTATTTTACTTAAAATAATTATCTTTAAAATATTTTAACTTGTACATTAAAATTATTTCAAATATTCTTATTTATTGAAATCAGTAGAATTTTTTGTTTTAAACAAAATTATATAATTATTATTTAGGAATCGAAAAATTGTTGTTAAGATACACTAGTACATCGTTTCTCAACATTGGGTCGCTATTCGTAAACTAATCACAAAAAAAGTATCATAGTTATCAAAATATAACTATACTATACTATTATATTTATATATTATATTTCATATATAAATGCTGCAGTGCTGCATTGTAGTATTTGATAAAATTATTTATTACAAATTGATTAGTAATGTTATATTAAACATAAATGTTATATTTTATTAAAGCATACTAGGTTTTTTTTTGAGGGTGGTTTACTTAGATAGATAAACTATAAACTAAACAAAAAAGAAATTTATGGGTCGCCTTAATATAAAGGTTTGGAAAAAATTCAATAGCGTATGCTGAAGTGAATGTCTTAATACTCTGAATAACAAAGTTTCGATAAATCTTTACATATAACTTAAAAATAATTACAACTAAATTAAGTAATATTAAGCTTATACTATAGTTAAATATCAGGTTTAGAAATCAATATATTAAATAAATTATGTCTATTAAAAACAATAAATATTTTCTATTTCTATTTTAAAACATAAAATACAATTTTATTTTTATTCATTACTTGTATTAATTTGTTTAAACAATTTCGTTAAACATAAAGAATAACGTAACTTGAAATGCTTATATAGTAAAATAACTATTTATTCAATTATGAAATATTCTAAGGACTTCTACGCGTCATACAATATGGTTCACGTTTTCAATCACATTTTTAATAAAATACAGTGATAGTTTTTATCGAGTTTGTTCGAGTACGTACGTAACATTGAACGTGAGCCGCTTCATCACGTGCATAAATAATGTAATGTAGGTATGAAGTTGGTATTAAACGTGAATAAACAATTGTCCGTTTTTTTACAATATTGTTCAACTAAATTGAACGTAAAATATTTTTTTCAGTGATATTTTAAACCAAAGTAGTAATATTTTTTATATAAATTGTATAAATTATATTTATATTTATTGATAATAAATGCTCTTAAAATGGGCTCAGTACAGAAAATACAAAGCTTAATAACTAAACTATTAGACAAATTTATGATTACATATTTAGCAATTACATAATAAATTTAATTATTTATAATATGAATATAGATTTTGACCTGATTGGGCTATTATTGAAAAATATAAAATGTTTTAATGAATTATTTGTAGTTATATTAATCTATTAATAATTATATTAATTAAAAATGTAATAAGGGATTTATTTACTTACATTTTTTATTAAAGTAGAAATAATTGTTATAATTTCGTTTTGTTGTTATTATAAGTGTAATGATTAAGTTAAATGATAGTTTTTGGTAAAAATTGTTCAATAGGCTTCATCTACATTATAATATCACAGACTAACAGAAGTTATAAAATATTATTAAATATAGTTATATGTATTGTACTTGACACAAACAAAAAAAAATCATCTAAAATGCGTCTATACTAATACTTAATGATGTTCGTGTATTATGATATGTCATTACAACATGTGTATTTATTATAAGTGTCGTCATAATATTTTGGTTGGTAATCAATAATAATTTATACGTTTGCAGTTATGTCTGTGGTTAACTACGTTAGTTTTAGTAGTATCTGCCCAGTATTACGTAAATCCACAAATGCAACAAGTTCCGATCAATCCTTATCCGTATGTTTATCAATATTACAAGTCACCAACTACAGCAGAAATCGCAATACCACCGACTACACGATATTTAACAGGATACGACGTTGTGCATTCGTACGAGCCTGTCGAAAAGCATGGTTATAAATATTCATATTAGAATATTTAAATAAAAATATAGTTATTACTATGTTATGTATTAAATTACATAATATATATATATATATACATTAATATGTATGTATTTTATTTAAGGTATTTTTTTATTGTACAACCATACCTATATTATCGATGTAAAATTATTAAATATTTTAATTTTAATAAATAAGGTATAGAACCTAATATTTGTTGAAGAATATTTATTTATACTATAGTTTTTTTTTTGCGAACCTCTGAGTAGCTTTAAAATTTTATCCGGTAATTTATCTCTTTGATACCTTTGTAATAATTTACTTTTATTATATTTTAATTAATAAATTAATAATTTTAAATAATATCTTATTATATTTTAAGTACTAACAT